CCGTTGCATCTCCTCTTCCGAGGTGGTGTTCAGGGCGAAGTCGTCGGCGAAGAGGAGTTCGTGCACGTTGGTTGTGGATACGCGCGATTGGAAGTGCATCCGCCGTTGATTCAGCAGGTGACCGTCCCTCCTGTAGGCGATGCGGATCCCGGGGCGTTCGTCGCGGTAGGCGTCCATCAGCATGGCAGAGAACGTGAGACTGAAGAGGGTAGGCGCCAGTACGCAGCCCTGCTTCACTCCGCTGGTCACTGCGAATGCCTCTGAGACAGCTCCGATGTCCGTGACTCGCGCCATCATACCGTCATTCAGCTGACGCACCATCTGTGTGAATCGTTCTGGACAGCCGAATTTCTGCATGATATTCCACAATCCTTCACGATTCACCGTGTCGAAGGCTTTCGTCAGATCCACGAAGGTAGAGTACAGGTGAGTCCGCAATTCCTGACACTTCTCCTGAAGTTGACGGGCGGCGAAGATCATATCCGTGGTCCCACGATGACGACGGAAGCCGCACTGACTTTCAGGCAGAACGCCCTGTTCCAGATGTTTATTGAGACGGTTGAGGAGGAGTCGCACAAAGATCTTCCCGGCAATGTTCAGCAAGGAGATGTCACGGTGATTGTCGCAGACTTGGCGACTTCCTTTTCGCTTGTAGAGATGCAGGATGGTTGCATATTTGAAATTTTGCGGAACTCCCCTTTGATGCCACATCACCTGGAAGATCGCAGTCAGGTGATCCATGAGTTGGGGACCCACGTGCTTGTAGACCTCAGCAGGGATTGCGTCCGATCCGGGTGCTTTCCCGCTGGAGAGCTGCTGCACGGCCCTGATGGTTTCCTGGAGAGTTGACGGGAGTTCGAGGTCCACGCTGGTCTCCACATTCGGCAAACTCTCGATGGCGGCGTCGGAGATGGTGGAAGGGCGGTTGAGGACGCCTCGGAAATGCTCGGCCCATCGCTGCAGGATTTGCGTCTTCTCAGTCAGGAGAGTGTTGCCGTCAGCGCTGAGGAGAGGAGGAGTGCCCTTCGTTGGCGGACCGTAGGCAGCTTTGATGGCGGAGAAGAAGTTCTTCCATTCGTTGCGGTCCGCGTAGCCTTGGATCTCCTCAGCTTTGCGAGCAGTCCAGGCGTCCTGCATCTCGCGCAGTCGTTGCTGAAGCTGTCGGCGACTGCGGTAGAAGGCAGCTTTGTTGTCCTCAGTGGGATGATCTACGTAGGCTTTGTGGAGGCGGTTCTTCTCAGCAAGCAGATTTCTGATGGCAGCGTCGTTGTCGTCGAACCAGTCCTGGTGTTGGCGGGGAGCGCGACCGAGGACGGCAAGCGCCGTCGACTGGACCGTGTCTCGAAGTTGACACCAGCGGTTCTCCACGGAGGTGTTCTCGGCAGCGGCGGCGGCATCGTCGGCGGCGGCAGCGATTGGAAGGTTGTCTAGCCGTTGAGCTAGCTCATTGCTGAAATGGAGACGGTGAGCAGGCAAAGACAACAAAGCAACATTCAGCTTACCTGGGGGTCGCTTACCTTGTGGTCTCCGGCGAGGCTGTAGGCGAATACGCATCTTCAAGATGACGAGGCGATGGTCGGTCCACTCGTCAGCACCCGCGATCGCCTTTGTCACCAGCACGTCCCGATGATCTCGCCTCCGGACGAGGACATAGTCCAGCAGGTGCCACTGACGCGACCGAGGATGCCTCCAGGTGGCATTCTCTCGCTCCGACAGGCAGAAGAAAGTGTTCGTCAGGATGAGGCAGTGTTCTGCGCAGGTGCGGAAAAGCAGCAGGCCGCTGTCGTTGGAGCCGCGGAGACCGTGGGGAGCCAGCACTCCCCTCCAGGCAGTATGGTCTGTGCCGACGCGGGCGTTGAATTCGCCAAGGACAATCAACTTGTCCGCATTCGACACAGTCGCCAAGAGGGCGTGCAGGTCCTCGTAGAATTTGTCTTTTGCGGCGGCGGCGTCGGGGCTGCTCATCGGCGGAGCGTAGGCACTGATGATGGTGGCGAATTTGCCTATACCCCCGATCTGGAGAGGCAGACGGAGGCTCATCAGACGATCGTTGATGCCCTGCGGCAAACAGGGCAGTCGTCCCACGATGTCGGTCCGGATGGCGAAGGCGACACCCGCCTCACGTCACTCTGCCTTGGGTCGACCACTCCAGAAGAAGGTGTAGCCGACACCCGCCTCCTCCAGTTGGCCTTCTTCGGGGAATCGGGTCTCGCTGAGTGCGGCGATGTCCACCTTGTAGCGCGCCAGTTCTCGTGCCACTAGCGCCGTCCTCCGTTCCAGTCGTTTGCTCCTCGGATTGTCTAAAAGAGAGCGAACATTCCAGGCTGCCAGAGTGAGCGGGCTCACCCTGCCAGTCTGGTGAGAACGAGTGGGGTGACGGGAAGGAGATGAAGAAGAAGGTGACTAAGGGGAAGAATAGGCAGTAGAACAGGCAGAGGAAGAGGAAGTAGAGGTAGGATGAGGAGGTGAACGAGTATTGTTTTTGTTTCGATTCTGGTTGTTTCGACCATGTTTAGACGTCTGCGGCCCTGGCTAGCCTGGAGACGGCGTGGTGCGCAGCAATGTTTAGGCCACCTTTTCTAGGCCCTTCCCCTCGTGGGGGCTGGCCGTGCCATCCCTGAATAGGGCTGCCATATGCCGTTGCGGCACAGCCGAACTCCACTATGGGGCCACGACTTCGCGTTGTAGTGGAGAGCGACTCGAATTCGCCGTAAGCTGCGGCCTCGGACAGCGTAGGTGGGCGCGTCAAGGCGAGGTCGATGTGGAGATCCATCCCGTCACCGGCAGTCCAGCGGAGTGCAGAGACGGACCACGTCACGACGGTGCCGACGCAAGGTTCCATCCGACCTTCCATCCAGCGGAATCCGCAAACCCTGTGCACACGGCACAGCGCACAGGGCCCCCTCACCTGGTTTAGCCCGCCGGTCGAGACGGTTGCCCGGGGTGTGGCCGCTGAGCAGTGCCCAGCTATGTGGAGCCACAGGTGAGAGTTGAGTGCCAGTTGAGTACCACCACGACCATTACGGGAACCCACCGCTGACACCCCTACACCCCGCCTGCGTCGATAAATGCATACAGAAAAAACCAGTTTATCAAATAATCCTCAGGACTCTATATGTTTTCGAGAAAGGCCTGTCGAACCTGCTTATAGGGAAACAGAAGTTATTCCATAGTAACATAATGAGGAGCATGCGAAACAGATGCCCATTCCTCCTGCCTGCAGATATTGTTATGTCCTCAGTCGTCAGGTCATTTAAGATAAAGCTGGTTCGGTACCCAATTACACTTCATAATGCCACACGACCAATATCGTCCGCACGCTTCGTGATAACAATTAATTACCGTTTTAATATTACTGCCTATGTTTCAGTAACGTTTTCTAATTGTTTGTGATTCGCATACTGACATACTGCAGATAATTGAAATCCTGCTACTCACACTGCAACATGATTATGCGAAAACTGACATCGGTAAACCGTAATTAGGCGCGCGGGAGTTCCTTACACTTGAATTGCATCGCTCATCTCATCGCCTCACACAAATCCAGTCCCATAAGTTCGATGAACAGACCATTAAACAAAATCTCGGAGAGCAGATGTGGCCAGTTACTTGTCCACGTGGCTGTCATACCGGGCCGTTAACTTGCTTTCAGGTGCAAACTACGCCTAACAACCACTTGCTGACTTCCAAATCTTACATGTCGCTCCCCGAAACTAGGCTCTGCTTGGCGGCTTGGCTGGCTGGTGGTCTGTGAGTCAGGCTGCAATGGCTCCTTCTTAATGTGGCCACTATGGCAATGTAACTGCGTGGGATCCGAGGCGGCTGTGGCGGCACGCCAAAGTGCCGCCTTGGCCATGCCAGCCCCCGCTATCTCTGCTGTTGGTGATAAAAAAAACTGGTTATTTGTAATGTGGACAAGGGGTTGTGGGGTGCAACGCCATGGTGCGGGCTCGACTGTACAATCCGCCGGCGCCCTCCACCACCTCCGGCCTTCTTGAATCTCCATTGACGCCGGGTGAAGTTGGAGAGGAGAAAAGAGTGTGATAGATGCAACGCAGGTCTTCCATCACTACAAACAAAAGCAAACGCAAGCCAACATCTCTGATCTCACGCCGATGTAGGGCGTACGGTGAACGACGTCGGATGAAACGGTTGAAAAGTCGTGTGTCTGTGCGTGTGCGTGTGAGAGTAGATCCGTCCAAAAAATCAGCCTGCGGCCTCCCTCGTCTCCGGTTTCCTTGACTCTGTCTTGACACGGGGCCCAGGCGTGGGAGGAGGAGAGAGTGTAGGTAGATGTAGCCAAAGACTACTGGCACAATAAACCCCTGCGCAAGTCACCGTCCCTGCTCCCACCTGGTGTGGGGCACACGGTGGACATTATCGAAATCGATGGTCGAACCGTCGTGTGTGTGTGTGTGTGTGTGTGTGTGTGTGTGTGTGTGGGGTGTAGGTGTGTCCAGCGGTGGGTTCACGTGAAGGTCGTAGTGGTCGCTCACTTGCTTGCAGGTGAGACTACGCCTATCGTCCATTTGCTGGCACCCAACTCTCACCTGTGGCTCCACGTAGCTGGGCTCTGCTCAACGGCCACACCCCGGGCAACCGCCTCGACCGGCGGGCTAAACCAGGTGAGGGCGCTGTGCGCTTGTGCCGCGTGCACAGTGTACTGCGGACTCCGCTGGATGTTTGGTCGGATGAAACACTGCGCCGGCATCGTCGAGACGAGGCTCTGCTTGGTACGCCGTTGGACAACTGCTGCCGGGACGGGCCTCCGCATCGCCTTCGCTGAGACGCGCCCACCTTCGCCGACGGAGACAGCGGACCTTCGGCATATGCGGTCGTTCTCCACTACAAACATAAAAGTCGTGGCCCCATAGTGGGATTCGGTCGCGCCAACCAGGCACATGGGCAGCCCGATTCAGGGGTGGCACTGCCTGCTCCCGCAAGGAGAAGGGCCTAGAAAAGGTGGCCTAAAAATTGCTGGGCACCACGCCGTCTGCAGGCCAGCCAAGGCCGCAGATGCCATCAACACGGTCGAAACAATCAAAATCGAAACAACAACAATACAAATTACAACAACCATACTCCTTCTCCTCATCCTACCTCTTCTACCTCTATCTCCGCCAATTCTTCTGCCTATTCCTCTTCGTCATCTTCCTTCCCGTCGCCCCACTCGTTTTCCCCAGACTGACAGGGTGAGCCCGCTCACTCTGGCAGCCTGGAATGTTCGTTCCCTTTTAGACAATCCGAGGAGCAACCGACCGGAACGGAGGACGGCGCTAGTGGCCCGGGAACCGGCGCGCTACAAGGTGGACATCGCGCACTCAGCGAGACCCGATTCTCCGAACAAGGCCAACTGGAGGAGGTGGGTGCCGGCTACACCTTCTTCTGGAGTGGTCGACCCAAGGCAGAGCGACGGGACGCGGGTGTCGCCTTCGCCATCCGGACCGACATCGTGGGACGACTGCCCTGCTTGCAGCAGGGAATCAACGACCGGCTGATGAGCCTCCGCCTGCCTCTCCGACGGGGAGGCAAATTCGCCACCATCATCAGTGCCTACGCTCCGCCGATGAGCAGCCCCGACGCCACAGCGAGAGACAAGTTCTACGAGGACCTGCACGCCCTCCTGGCGACTGTGTCGAAGGCGGACAAGTTGATTGTCCTTGGTGACTTCAACGCCCGCGTCGGCACAGACCACACGCCTGGAGGGGAGTGCTGGCTCCCCACGGTCTCCGCGGCCTCAACGACAACGGTCTGCTGCTGCTCCGCACCTGCGCAGAACACCGCCTCATCCTGACGAACACGTTCATCTGTCTGCCGGAGCGAGAGAAGGCCACCTGGAGGCATCCTCGGTCGCGTCAGTGGCACCTGCTGGACTATGTCCTCGTTCGGAGGCGAGATTAGCGGGATGTGCTGGTGACGAAGGCGATCGCGGGTGCTGATGGGTGGACCGACCATCGCCTCGTCATCTCGCAGATGGGTATTCGCCTACAGCCTCGCAGGAGACCACAAGGTAAGCGACCCCCGGGTAAGCTGAATGTTGCCTTGCTGTCTTTACCCGCTAATCATCTTCATTTCAGCAATGAGTTAGCTCAACGGCTAGACAACCTTCCAATCGCTGCCGCCGCCGCCGCTGCCGAGAACGCCTCCGTGGAGAACCGCTGGTGTCAAATGCGAGACACGGTCCAGTCGACGGCGCTCGCCGTCGTTGGTCGCGCTCCCCGTCAACACCAGGACTGGTTTGAAGACAAGGATGTCGCCATCAGAAAACTGCTGGCTGAGAAGAATCGCCTGCACAAAGCATACGTAGATCACCCCACTGAGGACAACAAAGCTGCCTTCTACCGCAGTCGCCGCCACCTACAACAACGACTGTGCGAGATGCATTACGCCTGGACTGCTCGCAAAGCTGAGGAGACCCAAGGCGACGCGGACCGCAACGAATGGAATAACTCTTTCTCTGCGATCAAGGCTGTCTACGGTCCGCCGACGAAGGGCACTGCTCCTATCCTCAGCGCTGACGGCAACACACTCCTGACAGAGAATACGCAAATCCTACAGCGATGGGCCGAGCATTTCCGAGGCGTCCTCAACTGTCCCTCCGCCATCTCCGACGCCGCCATCAAGCATTTGCCGCAAGTGGAGACCAACGCGGACCCCGACGTTCCGCCATCTCTCCAGGAGACCATCAGGGCCGTGCAGCAGCTCTCCAGCGGGAAAGCACCCGGATCGGACGCAATCCCTGCTGAGGTCTACAAGCACGGAGGTCCCCAACTGAACGTTCACTAGACTGCGCTTTTCCAGGAGATGTGGCGTCAAGGCGAAGTCCCGCAAGATTTCATATACGCAACAATCGTGAACCTACACAAGCGAAAAGGAAATCGCCAAATCTGTGACAATCACCGCGGCATCTCCTTGCTGAACACCGCCCAGAAGATCTTCGCTTGCGTCCTTCTCAACCGCTCGCATACTTTTCAACCGCGTCAATAACCATCTGGAACTGGACCTTCTGCAGGAAAGCCAGTGCGTCTTCCGTCGTATTTGTGGGACCACGGATATGATCTTCGCCGCCCGTCAACTTCAGGAGAAGTGCCAGGAGATGCGGATCCACCTGTACTCTAACTTCGTGGACCTGACGAAAGCCTTCGACACGGTGAATTGTGAAGGACTGTGGAAGATCATGTAGAAATTCGGCTGTCCGGAACGTTTGAATCAGATGGTGCGTCAGCTGCACGACGGAATGATGGCGCGAGTCACGACCCAAAGGAGCTGTCTCAGAGGCATTCACATTGACCAACGGAGTGAAGCAGGGATGCGTGCTGGCGCCTGCCCTCTTCAGTCTTATGTTCTCTGCCATGCTGATGGACGCCTACTACGACGAACGCCCCGCGATCCGCATCGCCTACAGGAGGGACGGTCACCTGCTGAATCAACGGCGGATGCACTTCCAATTGCGCGTATCCACAACCACCGTGCACGAACTCCTCTTCGCCGACGACTGCGCCCAGAACACCATCTCGGAAGAGTAGATGCAAAGGAGCATGGACCTGTTCTCCGCCGCCTGCGAGAACATCGGTCTGGTCATCAACACGCAGAAGACGGTGGTGATGCACCAACCTCCGCCCTACTCCGCCACACCCCACAACGCGCCGACGCAAATCAGCGTGAACGGAACCCAACTGCAAGTGGTGGAGAAATTCCCGTACCTGCGTAGTACTCTCTCCCGCAACACCCAGATCGACGACGAAGTCGCCAACAGGATCTCGAAAGCCAGTCAAGCCTTCGGTCGCATCCAAAGCACAGTTTGTAATCGTCATGGACTCCAATTGCGCACGAAGCTGAAGATCAACAAGGCGGTCATCCTGCTGACCTGCTATATAGCGCGGAGTCCTGGACGGTGTACACAAAGCAGGCACGTCGTCTGAACCACTTGCAACTCAGTTGTCTGCGTCGCATCCTGAGGCTGATTTGGCAGGATCGCATCCCCGACACTGATGTGCTGGAATGGACCGGAATCCTCAGCATCTACACCATGCTGAGACAAATACAACTGCGTTGGAGCGGCCATCTGGTGCGCATGGACGACGAGCGACTAAAAAAACAACTCTTCTACGGAGACGTCGTGACGGGTTCTCGCCGCCAAGAAGGCCAAATTTTTCGACAAATGAATACTCTGAATTCCTACCTGAAGCGTGTTCAAGTTAACCCGACACACTGGGATGACCTGTCCCAAAACCGACCTAAATGGTTCAGGACATTTAAGACAGGTGCTGCGGTCTATGAAGCCAACCGCATCGCTGCCGCCGAAATGAAGCGTAAAGCACGCAAATCAAGTCTGCGCAGACGCACAACCGCCTCCAACGTGTCCTGGATGTCAACGGACAATCCGCGCACGAAGTATACTTATTGTACACCTCCGGTTAAACTGCACCTCTCGGACCGCGCCAAGCATCTTTCAACCCCCCCCCCTCTTCCTCGTCCTCTCCGCGTCCAACTAACTCTGACAGCTCTTCTGAACCGTCAATTTCATCCTCCTAATCCTCCTCCTAATTCTCCTCCTACTCCTTATCTTCCCATCTTCTTCTTCCTCTTCCTCCTCCTCCTCCTCCTCCTCCTCCTTCTCCTTCTCCTCCTCCTCCTCCTCCTCCTCCTCTTCCACTGCCCCATCGACGACTGCTCAGGCGGTCGTCAGGTACATAAACAACCCTGATACTACAACCGACACCACATCCCATGCCCCTTTATATTTTTAACTTAATGAAGGAGTATAATAAGGTTTTAAAGAAGTTTTCTTATTGCCGAAAAATTTGGATACAACAACCGACACCACATCCCCTGCCTCCGACTCCATCGAACAGGATCAGGTCTGCACCTGTCCTCACTGCGACCGCACCTTCACCTCACACTTCGGTCACTTGCGAGTCTACCTCTCAGAGGCTCTCGTCTCAGTGCCTGGAGCACCAACCTACACCCACCGCACACGCCTCCCCTCTCAAAACGGTTCTCGCACCTTCCGGCATCGCATGGGTCTATTCGATCACATGCGCATTCACGAGAGCAGAATTGGCCGCATTCTCGACACACCTACACCGCCGAGCCCCACTCCCAATTCATCGCCTATTGCACCCACCAACCTCTCCGCAACCGACGTCTATGCCACCGACTTTACCACACCTCGTTCCTCCTCTTCCTACTACTCTTCCTTCTTCGCTGACACAACGACGTATGTCGCGTACGACAACGGATTTTAGGTCCAGGACTACACCTGCCCTCACTGCGATCGCAACTTCACCTCACGCATCGGCATGGTCGGTCACTTGCGAATCCATCGCACAGAGACTGGCGAACCAGTGCCTGGAGCACCAGCCTACACCCACCAAGCTCGTCTCAGCTGCCCACACTGTCCTCGCACTTTCAGGCACCGCATGGGCGTATTCGGTCACATGCGCATGCACGACGACCTGCGGTAGACAACCGCCGGCTACACCTAACATTCACACACTCCCTACCCTTCTCCACCATCACCACCACGCATCAACACTCCCCCACCGCATGCACCACTTGCCACCTTCCACGCAAGTGGGAAGTGTGCATCTCGACTCGGTCCCCATGCGGCTTCGGCTGTACGGGTGACTTGAGTCCGAGACTATCCCGACACGTCAAGTGTCGTGGATAGGAAGGTTGCTGATCGACGCCCGCTCTCGGCCCACGCAGTTCGTCACGTTGTGTGTGTGTATTTTGTGGAGTGGCGGACTGGTTTGCTGGGGACGGGCTGAAGCATTGTGCATTGTGGGATGGTGAGATAGTGTGGTGCAGCCGGCGGTTGTCTCTTGCAGGTGTTCGTGGATGAGCATGTCACCGAAAAACCCATGCGATGAATGAAAGTGCGAAAGCAGTGTGGACAGTTAAGTCTAGCCGGGTGTGTATAGGTTGCTGCTCCAGGCACGGCTTCGCCAGTATCTGTGCGATGAATTCGCAAGTGACCGACCAGGCCGATGCGTGAGGTGAAGGTGCGATCGCAGTGAGGGCAGGTGTAGTGCTGGTTCTCACCATGCGAATACGAGAATTGCATGTGCGTGGACAGTGTGGGTAGTTAAAGTCGGTTGCGCCGGTGTCGGCTACGGAGGAGTTTGTGGTGTTGATGGGCGCACTGGTCGATGAAGCGAGGGTGCGCCTGGGCATGGCGGATGTGTCGAATGTGGTGAGTGTGTCGGGTCTGCTCTCAATTTTCGCTCTCGTTCATCACGGTAAGCGCCCGTCAGCACGGCAGAGAACATAAGACTGAAGAGGGCAGGTGCCAGCACGCATCCCTGCTTCACTCCGTTAGTCACTGCGAATGCCTCTGAGACAGCTCCGTTGTCCGTGACTCGCGCCATCATACCGTCGTGCAGCTGACGCACCATCTGAGTGAATCGCTCCGGACAGCCGAATTTCTGCATGATCTTCCACAATCCTTCACGATTCACCGTTTCGTGGTCCCACGATGGCGATGGAAGCCGCACTGGCTTTCCGGCAGTAAACCATGTCCCAGATGGTTATTGAGGCGGTTGAGGAGGATGCGAGCGAAGATTTTCCCTGCGATGTTCAGCAAGGAGATGCCACGGTGATTGATGCAAAATAGGCGGTTTCCTTTTTGACTTTAGAGATGCAGGAGGGTTGCGTCTTTCAAGTCTTGCGGGACTTCGCCTTGACGCCACATCTCCTGGAAGAGCGCAGTCAGGTGATTCATTAGTTGGGGTCCTCTGTTCTTGTAGACCTCAGCGGGATTGCGTCTGATCCGGGTGCTTTCCCGCTGGAGAGTTGCTACACGGCCATGATGGTTTCCTGTAGAGATGGCGGGAGGTCGAGGTCCAAGTTGGTCTCCACTTGCGTCAAACGGTCGATGGCGGTGACGGAGATGGCGAAGGGGCGGTTGAGGACGCCTCGGAAATGCTCCGCCCATCGCTGTAGAATTTGCGGCTTCTCAGTCAGGAGAGTACTGCCGTCGGCGCTGAGGAGAGGAGCAGTGTCCTTCATCGGCGGACCGTAGACAGCCTTGATCGCGGAGAAGGAGTTCTCCCATTCGTTGCGGTCCGCGTTGCCTTGGATCTCCTCAGCTTTGGGAGCAGTCCAGGCGTCCTGCATCTCGCACAGTCGTTGTTGAATGTGGCGGAGACTGCGGTAGAAGACAGATTCGTTGTCATCAGTGGGGTGGTCTACGTCGGCTTTGTGAAAGCGGTTCTTCTCGGCGAGCAGATTGCTGACGAAGGCGTCGTTGTCGTCAAAACAGTCCTGGTGTTGGCGGCGTGCACTACTGCACACGGCCAGGACTTTCGCCTGGATTGTGTCCTCTCGACGGAGGCGTTCTACTCGCTGGCAGCGGCGGCAGCATTGGCGATTGGTAAGTTGTCTAGCCGTTGAGCTAACTCGTAGCTAAGAAGGAGATGGTGAGCAAGCAAAGACAACAAGGCAATTTTCAGCTTACCTGGGAGTCGTATACCTTGACATCTCCTGCCAGGCCCATTGTCTGGAACTCGCGCCTTCATGCCACCGCGGGGCCGACGCATCATCTGACTTAATCCTTCTCACTCTCACCCTGTCACTTACGCCACCGTCGTTTATCCTGCCCAAGATCAAACCATAAGCCTGTATTTTAACGAACCTTGTGCAGTTTTCAAGCAGTGCGATTTTGCCGATGTTTGCCTAACCCTGATCGACAACACACTCTACAACAGACTTAGTGTAACGTACAGCCGCTGAAAGACAACAAGTCCCCACCGCCTTCTGGATCACCCATGGGTACATTGAGCTTAGGCAAGGGGCTAGCGTAATTCAGGGCGACAGTCGCTGTGAGACTGAAAAGAAGATCGAGTGGAGAGTGCGTCATCCTCTTCTTTCAAGGAAATCGATGCCCCACCCTGATAACACTGAACGCGTGCGTGCCTGCAATCTGCACATACGAAACGCCACCCAGCCAGCTCCCTCCCTCCCTCCGCATCGGATCAGTAGATTTTAGTACAAATCAGTGCACCCAAAGTGGCGTGATCTGCTCGCGTCTGTCACTTAGTTTGTGAATAATGAGGACAGGAGCCCTAATGCAATTAGTGCAACATTCGTAAGAGAATACATATCTGCAGGTTTACAACCAGCTCGTGGGGAATTTATCTGAATCGTCAGTGTTGTGCCACACCAGAAGGTATAACCTCTGTATAGTCTTAAATTGCCTATCCGCCAGAACCTAGAGTCCCTTCAGTTTACAGAATATATTTCCTAAAGTCATGCGCATCCACGTTGATTGAATTGTTAAACATCGGTGCCACGGTGGGACTGGAACCCACGACAGCAAGGGTTTAACTATGCCAAGTAATTCATATCGCCTTATTTTGACTGGCAATGCGAGCCTATTGCAGCTTGTCCGACTATTGTCGATTTTTCCGTATAAAACGCAAGTACACCGATCAGTTGTTTTGATACGCATATGAAATACTCGGCGCCTCGGTGGCGTATGAACCCACTACAGCAAGAGTTAGCCTTAGTACAGCCAACGCTCCAGCCACCTGTGCTAAGAGGCTCCATCGGACGACGCTAAAATTATCGCATCTGCCAAAACACCCAAGAATTACGTAAGACTCGTAGCCATCTGGTGGATTTAAGATGTATAAATTGGAAAATCCTGCTTGGAAAGTCAGCCTTCTTTATCAGATTTGGTGGATACCAGGCTTGCATTAGATTGAGCGGATAAAATTGATTTAGATGTGATTAAACTCGCGTCGTCCGGTGGGGCCTCGTATCACAGGTAGCTAGAGCGTTGGGTGCACTAAGGCCTCTATTTGCTGTTGTGGGTTCGAATCCCACCAGTTAGGCTTAGGAGCAACTTCGGAGACTGAAACCATTTATTTTTCGGACGTAAAGCATGCTTTGCAGTGTCATTTTGATGTGAGGAGATGCACTCGATCTCTGGGGCGAAAATAATGTTCACTTGAGTCTTCCGATACCTTTTTGATCAAGGACGGAACAGACTGATGTTTTGGACGTACGTAGGGTGAAATTTTTTAAAGCTGCAATTCCTATGCTATCATGCGCATGTTTATAATGATAACGCCCGCATTCCCGAGCAGACATGTTTAAATTGTGACTGTTTACGTTCTAATTGTTTTTCAAATACCAACCTCATACTTTGTTCTAAAAACTGACTGTGGCGATTCTATGACTTTGAAAACGGGAATTTTTGTTAGAAATGCGGTTTTCCTGGCAGGCGGAAGTCGACACAATGTTGAAGTTTGCTTAGCGCCTCTTGCCAATGAATGCCAGACAGACCCCCCCCCCACCCCGGCGTGTTGGGCATTCTTCGCAGTTCTTCCAGTCTGTTTTCACAAAAGAAGTAGAGTATATTTTATCTAGTTACGAGAGCGCAGAAGCGTCAATTATAAAAATGACCAGGACTCAAAGTCGCACGGTGACCTGATTTTTGTTCTTCCGAGTGGGGTCGCATGCTGCGTTCATGCGATCAGTCACCTCTGGCGGTCGCTATTCGACAGAGTCCGGTTCATCACCGTCACAACGGTTCCAGTCTTGCCCTGAGCGTAGCCGCTCCCCTGGAAGGTTTCAGCTGGGGTCCACAGGATGTCCAGAATCAATCATGTGTGCGAGGATGGAAGAGCACTCATCGATCGGGTCGGGACTCGGTCGAGAGCCCCACAGACAGTTAAATAGAGACCAATAAACTAGATTTGTCGAAGGCAAGGGTCTAGAATTGATCATTGTGTCGGTGCGGAATGTACAGGTTTCCACGCATTAATAAGCCTGTCGCAACAAGTAATGTGACTCTACAAAATAAACAGTCTGGTTTTCGTCAGGTTTGCACAGGGCGTCTCAACAGCATATGGAGAATCGTTTCCAGATGCAACTGTCTAGCTCTGCCTAACATCCTCGTTTTCACTTCCGTCTGGCTCTTGGCAAACGCAAGTGGTTTGATTGGATGTTGGTTCCTGCCTTCACTTGTCCGGTGTCCTTTGCTTAGCGGTGCACTTTCTTCACCTTCTTTTCGCTACTGGAGCCTCACGCAAATTTCTGTATTTACCGAATCGTTGAGTTGTTTTCTCCTTTTTTCACAGATAATGCAACAAGGCAGTACTTTTTGTCGGATGCCCATGCGTTGCCCAAATAAACTTAGCACGGACGCACCCAGTCATAACGATAACCGGCCCTAAGTATGTTCCCACGTTTTCTAAAGTCATCCACGAGTGCAATACCTCTATCTTGGCACCTATGC